GAAGGTTGAGAAGAAGAAGAGTAGTAAGAAATTAGAATGTTGCTTTTCGTTGGATGAAGAGAAGGAGAAGGGGAAGAAGAAGAAGAATCGGAGAATGGTGAGAGATTGGTGGAAAGATGAGTATCGGAAAGAGCTTGCTAAGCGAATGAAGAAGAAGAAGAAGAAGAAAACGTTGGAGTCTGAGTTTTATAGTGATGATGTGAGTGGAAGTGTGGATCAAAGGCGGCGCGGGGATGAAGAATTGTATAGGAAGAAAAGGAGAGGTGGTAGTAGTAATAGTATAGGAAGTAGCATAGATTGGTGGTTAGATGGACTAAGCGGTGAACAATGGAGAGCACGTCGCAGAAACAGTCAAGATTCAGTTAAGAGTTGCGGAGTCAGTAGCACGCCGAGTATGAGAGGGACAATGTGCTACGTTGCTCCTGAGTGTTGTGGTAATAACATAGATGATGTGTCTGAAAAATCTGATGTGTATAGCTACGGAGTTTTGTTGTTAGTCCTGGTTTCAGGAAGGCGGCCGCTGGAAGTAACTGGACCCGCGTCTGAGATCATGTTGCGTGCTAATCTCATGTCGTGGGCAAGGAAACTTGCGAGAAGAGGGAGACTCGGTGATCTGATAGATGAAAAGCTGCAGTTGTTAGACAAAGAACAAGCGGTTTTGTGCATTAAGGTGGCTTTGCAGTGTTTGCAAAAATCCCCGGTTTCACGACCATCAATGAAAGATGTTCTAGAAATGCTTACAGGAGCGATGAGCCCACCGGATTTGCCTACAGAATTCTCACCATCACCGCAGACTCGCTTCTCGTTCAAGACACGAAGGAAGCATAATCGGTAGAGAGGTTTCTTTGGTGATGGATGTGTGTGATGATTTAGAGCATTTGTTCTACAACACCTTCTTTGTTAGTTAGTGATGTGTAGTGTTCGAGCCACTTGATTTGTTTGCACAACTCTGTTTTCGCTTCGAATATCTTATTATAATTAATTAATGTAGTTTAGTGATCATTTTCTTGTAAAACTAAGCATCAATTCTTGCTAGAGCCTAGAGGTATGCGGAATTTGCATAATGATTAGCCCACAGTATATGAAGATTAATCTGAGATTTGGTAAAAAGTCCAAAAATTGAAAAATATGTGATCCTCGTGATTGGGCCTAATAGGAAATTCATAAGGCCTTATCCTGTCTTAACTGGGTTACACGGTATATTTGGTTTGGACTGGTCCTATCTTGAAAATCAAAGTACAATTGGTTTATTGGGTTTTGGTAAAGGTTATATAATTTATTTATTTATTTTCCTTTTCTAAACGTTATGCTATTGCTGATGCATTCATCAAATCACTACTACTTTGGGCAAAGCCGGTCTTGAAGATATAAAGGCCCCAAGATAAAAATAAAAAAGAAAGAAGATTAAGAGTAAAGACTCATTCAAATTTTTAAGAGATAAGAAAGGACATGATGGTTATTAGAGGTGGGGACTAAGAGAAAACCACACGTTTTTAAAGCTACAAATCCATTATTTCTTGCTTCGCTTGGACTAACGACATGCTTTGCTTTGGATTTCCAATTTATTTTAAAAATCTTAAAAAAACTCTATTTAACCAATAACCATATTGGTGGAGATGTGTCTTTAGTCAAGTGATTAAATCCATTTGACTCCGCCTTCCCAACCGGAATTCGACTCCACTAAGTCGCGTTACCTCGCGTAGTAAGGATTGACTATGGATCGGGTCTTGTCAATCCAAAGATGTTAAAAAAAAAAACCAATAACCATAATGGTAAATATAAAATCATATGAAATAATTTTTTTGGCCATGTCATATTTCTTTCGTATAGTTTTTAGTTGTGGTTAAAACTTAAAACTAGTTGACAATTTCCAATGGTGTGCTGGTAAAAACTGTCCAAATGCTAGTGTCAACTGTCATATAATTTTTACTTCGAACAATCACTTTTGAAATATTTTATTTTATGTTGTAATCTTGTTTTTTTCTGTTTCCAGAAGTGATTCTCGTGGAACTTTTAGTTATATATAAGCTATATACGTTGATTTTGTGTTTTTTTTTGAGCTCACATGTGTGGTTCATGCCAGATACCAACTATCTTTGCCAAATGTTTGAATACTACGGACGTCGAAAACTCGAACTGACGGAAATTACCACCACCTCACCGTAGTAAAATGTGATAACTACCGACGAACTACTGTTTAAAATGGTACATGCATCAGAAAATATTGATGCCTTTCCAACGAATTTTGTTGACATCAGCAATACGTTGATTATCCATATATTTTTGTTAAAAATTTATTGCATTAATTATAAAAAATATTTACTCAGATATTATAGAAAAGTTAGAATATTACTAGCACATACATTTTTTAAAAATTATTCATATATTTAGTGTCCTTGTATAATTACAATTAACACCTTTTATTAATTTTTTTTTATTAAGATTTTTTTATTTTTTTCTAATTAAAAAATGATTAATAAAAAATTAGTTTAATCCACATTATTAAGAGAAAAAAAATTAAAGCCACGACATAAGAGAAAAAAAAAATACGAAGGGTTACGTAACTTATTGTTTCGCGGTAAATTTACATGTCACGGCTGAGTTATAATGCTTCATGGTAGACGAAAGGTTGCGTAAATTTATATATTACGGCTGAGTTATAATGCTTCACGGCTGACTTATCACACCAACTTCACAAGCTTGTCGTGCGTTGTTTCCGCATCTATCTGCACAACTCTACACCCTCTATCGTTGGTGTTAAATACATATTTGTGTTTCTTTACCCAATTACCGGAATCGGATCATTCATATATCGGGAGAAGGATGAACGAATATGAAGAAGAATGAGGAAGACAATGACAAATTGGATGTTCAAGATTTAAGTTTTAGATATCTCTATTGATGTGAAAAACACACGTGAAGAACAACACAGTGAAGAACAAGAAGAGTAGAAAACAGACGTTTCGTATTTTCTTCGATGATGATGACATGAAATATTGCATCCGACGTCATTTTTTAATTGATGAAGTGACAACTAAGCCACCAAACGAACATGTAAATCAGCCTAATTAAACCAGTCATCAAACAAAACTTTAAGTCAGTCGCAACATGAATACTATTACAGTAGTTAAAAACAAAAAAACGGCTGGCAAAGTCAGCCGTTTAATGTCGTAACTCAACCGAAATCTTTAACTCAGTCGTATCGTTTAATAAGTCGGTCGTAATTGCATGCTATTCTAGTAATTAATCTTTCGCTACTAAGTCAGCCGTAATTAGGCCGAATTTTCTATTAATCCAGCTCATTACGGCTATTTTATGACACTCGAACATAAATCAGCCGTAACGAAATTCCATAACTAAGCCGTCTTTGATAACTTAGCCAGCCGGAGAAAGTTCACCCGTGTCGAAGCAATAATTCAGCCAAAATTTTGACAAATCAACCATCAGGTAAAACTCAGCCGTAACTTAGGCTGGATTTAGCTCGAAAGTCAGCCATTTTCTCATAACTCATACAGATTTCATTAAGTCAGCCGAAACTCTAGCCTGGATTATGTAAGTCAGCCGTTTTTTCATAACTCAGCCATTTTCCTTAAATCAGCCGTAACATACCGTAATTCGATCAGCTGTCATTGCCGCTGTATCGCTTTACGGCTGAGTTCATTAATACACTTCAGCGATTTCTGACGTGGCGACGCAGTTTGTCTGACGTGGCGACGCAGTTTGTCTGACGTGGCAATGACATTTTTTGTAATTACGTTTTTTCCTATAACGTTTAACAGAGACACGCTGGATATACAAAATATACCCAAAATATGATAGTAATAAAAAAAGATATGTATGTTTCTGGTCATTTCACCTAATTTGTATGACATCTGAATAACTTTCCCTAATTATAAAGAAGAGGCATTTAAAAAAACTTTCAAGAAAAACTTATTAGTACATAACATTGAACCAAGAACGGATTTTTGGTCGCTAAAATCTTTGGATTTTTTTTATTGTGCAAAGTTTATCTTGAGAAATTGGAGGATTTTCTCAAAATGATATCTAATTTAGGATAATGGTAATAAGAAAGTAATAAGCATGGAATCTCGGAAATCGGAATAGAACATCATATCAAAAGATCATATCAATATCGGTCAACGCTGGTCAATGCTGGTCAATGCTGAATTCTGGCAACCACTGGAATTAGATGGTTATGGTGTTTGCAACATGTCTTATTCTAGTTCGGGGGTGTCCGTATGTAATGTCAATACTTCGTGTAACTAACGATTTATTTTTAAAATCTGCATATGTGACTATGTATTGGCATCTCTATAGGTGACAAACATTTTCCTTTGATTATACATTATCAACTATTAGAAGAAGGAGCTGATGAAGACAGTCATCACTGCGTGCGTACCCTAACAAACGTATTTTTAATTCCTTTTCTGATACGACTAACCTACGTATCTTCTTATCTCTATTAAATAATATTATCATAATATCTTTTATTTAAATTATATTGCTCCATCTTCAAGACTGCAATAATTTTTCAACTTTACAACAAAGCCCTGAGCTGTTCTTCTAAAGACTAAGATCACAAAATCCGCAGAAGATCAGATCTTGCTGTCTCATCTTCATCATCTGAAGTAGAGAATCTTTTAAAGGAATATTTACTTTTATTAATTTAAGACCACCAAAGCTTTTTAGATGGATGATTGTCGGGACAAGAGAAGAAGACGGTGTACGAAGCTGACATGTAGTACAGATAATAACAACGACATGGAGAAGATGATGCATAGAGAAACTGAGAGACAAAGGAGACAAGAAATGGCTTCTCTTTATGCTTCTCTTCGTTCTCTTCTCCCTCTTCACTTCATCAAGGTCTCACTCCCCAACTACTAAAAACCCTAATCTTGATTTCGATTCTTCATGACTTCTTTAGATCTACTTAATCTTTGTCTTTTGATTTGGTCTTCCATGTAAGAAAATGAACAAGGGATCGTAATAAGTGTTTTGACTTTGTGATTTTACTTAACTATAGTGTTTTTTCCTCTGTTCTAAAAAGCGGTCTAGGCGGTCGCCTAGGCCCCGACTAGGCGCTAGGCTCTCATTCGACGCCTAGATAACCGCCTTGACCGCCTAAAATTACATAGATCTTGTTTAATGTATTTTTTCAATTTCAATTACAGTTTTATTTATATATATATATATATAGTTATAAATATTCATATATTGTTTAATATAAATATAAATAAATATTTTATCTAGTTTTTGTTTATAATTTCATAATTTTTAGTTTTATATTAATATTTTATATAACTTTTATATATAATATCATATATATAATGTATTATGTTATAAACGTCTAAACCGCCTAAAAAATCGCCTAGGTTCCGATTAGGCGTTCTAGGCGCTAGGCACTGAGTCACCGCCCGCTTAGCGCCTAGCGCTTTCTTGAACACTGGTTTTTTCTTAAAAGATTAATTCCTAAATAGATCTAGTACTTTCTTGGTTTCTTTTGTTTCTTGGCGGATTCTTTTGCTCTCTCTAGGGTAAGCGTTCGACGTCAGATCAAGTCAACGAGGCGGTTAACTACATAAAGTATCTACAGAGGAAGATCAAGGAGCTGAGTGTGAGGAGAGATTATCTCATGGTACTGTCTAGAGGAAGCTTCTTGGGTAGTAGTAATGATGATTCTAAGGAGGAGGTGGAGATGATGAGTAGGAAGAATCATGTGGTGGTTCGTCAGTGTTTGGTGGGTGTGGAAATCGTATTTAGTAGCCGCTGCTGCGGTGGCCAACCGCGGTTTTCGAGTGTTCTTCAAGTGCTTAGTGAACATGGTCTCTGCCTTCTTAACTCCATCTCCTCTATTGTTGATGATAGGCTAATTTACACCATACAGGCCGAGGTAAACTTATCCTACCCTCATACTCTTAGTTACTTATTTCAGTTGTGATATAGACATCAACTGTTCCAAACGCATAATTTTTTTTTCTGAAAATACTTTTTAATTATTTCGAACTTTTCATTAAATTCTTTTACAAAAATGCAAATCAAAGGTCTGCATAAATCTTCCGTTTTGTTTGGTTTTCGTGTTTGTAGTTTATAAAAATGTTTGGTAAAAACAATAATTGGTGTGGTTGCGTTGTAAGACACACATACACACAATTTCATAACATCTCAATTTAGATGCAAAAACAAAGAAAAGAATTTAGGTATTTGCCAATATATGTATATATATACTATCGACATTTGAATCCATCAGATTGTAGACGTTATTAGAAACCTTATATATCTTTCTATCTTAAGCATCAAATATTTGAAAAGAAGATATCATAATTGCAACTGTCCATATACAAGAAAATGTTCTCACATGTGGGCACTAAATGGTAACATAAGAAATATATTCAGCCGAATTCAGCCAGATTCAGCAATTCTTCCGTTACCATTTGCATAAAACTAAATTCAGCTCAATTCAGCCAGATTAAGCAATTTTTTCAACACTAACAGATATGTAGATATGTTTATTTCTGGTAAAAATTCAGATAATAAAGAATTCACAACTCACATTATAATAATTTGGATATGAGAAATTACAAATCAAATTTATATTTTAAAATAAGTCATACTATACATATACAAATACGATATTGAATCATTCAGACACATAAAATCACTACCAGAATAGACAAGAGACGAATTTATGTTCAAATAATTATAGATATTTTTGGATAATTTTAATAACTTTAAGCTAATCTAAAATAAATTTTTAAAATTCGCAAAAAAAAACTCATACATATGCTAAAATATTTTTTAAAATATCAAAGTTTTGATAATTCTATTAATCATTCTCGTCATATTATTGATTAAACTACTAGATGACAAAAAAAATATAGATAATCTTTATTTTATTATCATGTTAATTTTTGAAATTAATTTTTCAATAATGTTTTGACAAAAATTTCATTAATTATTTATATATTTTTAACAGTTCAAAAATTAAATATGATAAAATAATTCAATTTTGCTAACCAATATATTATTTATATTAGTATTAGTTTTAGATAAGTTTTGTATTTATTTATTAATATAAGAGTTACTTAGACAATTAGATAATTTTATCTATTTTATTTAGATATTTCTTAGTTATTCTATTGATTAAGATTCATAATTATTTGACGATATTTTTCAGTTTAAGTCTTAATTATTTTGACAGATTTTACCAAAAATCACAAAAAAATTCAGCTACATTCAGCAGTTACCATTTAGAAATGTAAAAATTCAGCTAGATTCAGCTAAATATCACTAAAAATTCAGCCAGATTCCACAATTCAGCCGGATTCAGCCAGATTCCTCGGTTACCATTTAGACCTCATGCATTTAAATATATATATATCATCTCAGGGTATATGTATTGAATTTTGAAACTATTATATTTTTGGAGGTTAGAGCGTGTGCATTATCAAGGTATTTCTATAATTCTGTCCCAGGTTTTGGCATGGAATATCCAATTATATAACAAAATGATCAAACTACTGCATGTTCCTATTGTTTGATTTTGTCTTCGAATTTTCTTCATAGCAAAAGGCTACATTTTGAATGGAATAAAAATCTTATAACTTCGTATATATACTACTATACAGAAAAATTTGGTACATTTGAGTATATATATATATATTGAAAATTTCTTTTGTTTTGCAGGTCAACGATATGGCTTTGATGATTGACTTAGCAGAACTTGAAAAGAGATTAATCAGAATGAAGTAAATTCTTGTTGAGTAGGTTGCTCTAATAACTTGTCAAGCAAACGACATATATAGTTAAGTACGTACTTTATTCGTACTTGTGATTGTTGTGTCGTGTTCACATCTATCTGTATGTATATATTTCTATTCCATCTGATTGTCATTAGCTCATTTAGTTGTTTATAGATCGGAAAATTATGTTTCCCATAAGCTGAGTTAGTACCTTATATATCGTTATATGCTTTTTTTTTTCCTTAATATACGTTATGGTTATATGCTATGATTCAAATTGTGTATTTGGGATTTTATTTTAATAAATTTCAAAAAAACATAAAGTTTTTGATGGTGTCTAGCTAGGCAGTGTTCGAAGTTGGTAGCATTCGTTTATTAAAAACAAAAAAGAGAGTTGGTAGTAATATTCTGCTGATTTTTATATAAGAAAAACCAACGAAAAATTACAAAATAACAATTTATATTTGTAAGACTAGAATATATTAAACTCATTAAGGTGCACATATTAGTGCTCGTATAAGAATCTGTTTACAAAAAAAACAATTAAGCATATTTGAAACAGCTATTATAGTATATAGTATTATAAAGATTTTTGTAGCTTTAATCTGCTTTAATCTTAATTTTGTAGGATAAAAATATGATTTTTTATTATCATTGATGTGAAACAGCTAAGTATTTTCCATCTTTTTTTTTGGTAGGCTGTATTTTCCATCTTTTTAAAGGTCAATATTTTGGATATTATAAAACTGATATATTTGATCAAAATTTATAGTACAATGAGTTACGTTGTACTAGAAACGCAAGTGAAGTTTTATTGAGATTCCAATATTATACATGTGTCGATTTTCAATATAAAAAAATGCTTGCGGTTAGCATTCTGGTTTCACAAAACTAAAATATCTTAAAAGTTATAAATTTTTTGGGCGACATATACAACGATATGTTCATGATGATAAACTTTTACAAAACAAACCTAACTGAAAAAGCATAAAATTATTGCCAGAGAAGATATTATTAAAGTCTCATTAATAATTTCAAAACAAATGTGGTTAAGTGAACTTTTCTGGAAAGAAAACAACAACTTTGATTAAATATATACTACAAGAAAATATGTGGAATTTTACTGAAAAACCATTGGAAAATATTTTTTTGAGACCTTCGATCGAATTCGACCATCGAATACATTGGAAATTAAAATCTATCGGAATTTTTTTATAATTTTCCGACGATTTTTTTAATTATGTTTAAATATTATGAATTCAAATTCAAATTCGATTTATCAAATAAAAATCTTATACAACTCGGAAGCTCTTATTATCATTATTGTTTTCTTTTTATTCTCAAACTATTAAAAATGATTATCACTAGAATCATCAAAATCAAAGATTTTAATAGAGTAATTAAATCTCACAAAAACGAATCGACTAGATTTCTGTTTCTAATCACAACTATTGTTAAAGTCTCTTCAGTGTATTAAATTCGTCTTCCTTGACAGTAGTTCTACTGTTTATCTTTATAACAACTAGGTTTTGAACCCACGTTCCGTGTGGGTTTATTTGATATTTTGGTGAAAATTATATAAGATAGATAATAGTTTTTAAATTGCAATTAAAGCAAAAATTTCATTTCAAATGCACAATTATAAAACTTATAAAAATCAATAATGTTTTAAAATAAAATCTTATCAAAAAAATCATGAATCAATTTTGTTTTCTCATATTCAATTGGCCGCCAACACCTATGTCTTCGTATTTTTTTTCACATTCATCGTTTCGTATTCTTCATAATCCTTCTCGTCATCTGCATTCTCAAATTTTTATGGACGTTGTCATCGTTACTTTTCGCGTTTTCGTTATACTCTTCCTATAAAACATTCGTTATTACGTGGATAAAAACAAAGTAAGAAATTTAAATTTACTAACATTAACCTATGAATTAACTACCGAAACAACAACGTTCATTTCACCTTATGAACTCGAAATTTGATGCCTTTCTACCAAAGCTTAGTTCTACGTCTCGAGAACACTCCTACCATATTTCAAATTATTTCGAGTACATTTGGATGTTCATGTCTCCACTTTGTTGGTCAGATTTGAAACTTTAAAAGAAATCTTCTCGAACATGTTAAAAAGCATTCTTCTAAAAATCTGTTTAAATTTATTTTCCACCATTAAACCTCAAGAAAGTAATACCATAAACCTCGTCATCAAGTTTCAGCTACATATGATCCAAACGTTACCATATATGATAATCCAAGTTTGTCTTATGGTATCACAATCAGACCTCTTCTAACCAAACGATACATGCATGTGTGCTTGTCATTGATCATTCTTCTTTAAACCAAAAATTTAACTCAAACAATCAAATCAAGGTCTTATGATTCATAACCGATATGAAAGAGCACAAATGATGCTTGTCATCGATCCGTCTTCTTCAGACCCAAAACATTTACGCAAACAACGTCAAATCATATATAACATCATACACAAACACATGTTTTACGGCTCATCGAAGATATAAAATAAAAACAGCCTATCAGAGAGAGAAAAGTGCCCTCAGTGGACGATGAAAAAAATAAAAAAAGAGGCGCCATTAAAAGTAGTTACCAACCCTAATTCTTACTGACGGTTTAAATTTATACTTTAAATAACTAGATTTTAACCCGCGGTACACCGGGGGATGATTTAATTTTAAAGTTAGTACAAAAATATTTTGTAAATTGTATTTCCTTATAACATATATATTTATATTATAGTTTACAATTGTTATTAAGTAACGGTATACCACGAGTCCACGAGACAATTATTAATAAACTGAGGATTTAACCCGTATTAAAGCGGTATATAAATATTGATTCAAATTCGTCCGCCATATAAATCCTTTCCAAAATATAACCCGTTCCGTAATTTCTTAACCCGTCCCGTGATTTGTTTTTATTTTAAAATTTAATGATTATTTATTATATATAAAAGTTTACAAATCATATCATTCTCTAAGACATTTATATTTTAATAAACTAAAGATTTAATATGTATTAAAGTGGCATGTTAATGATATTTTAAAATTTTATAAATATTGTTATTAAGTAACATTATACCACGGGATAATTTTTGGTTTTATACAATCTTTTCTAAATGAGACTGATTTAATATGTCTAATATTTGTGGTATTAAAAAAAAAGGATTTAATCCGTATTGAAACGGCGGATTAATGATATTTTAATCTTTTTATTATTGTTGATTCAAAAACCCGTCTGATTGCTCGAGTAATTACCCGATACACTTAACCGCAAGGTAGTATATACGGGGTCGATCCACAAGAACCAATGGTACACTAAAGACTTCCGAGACTCGTTCTTAGCTAAAGCGGAAAGATTGTTTTGTTTTGGGTTTTCAGAATTGTAAATAAAAATGCAATTAAAATAGACGATTTAACTTCAAGATTTAAAGACATTGGGCGTTAGGATATTTCAGAGATCAACGAATAATGGAAACATGAAACCAGGAATTCAGTAATTAAGAACCGTTCTCGAACATGAACACATTTAAACCAATTCTCTTTCAAGACATTAATCACTAAATTTGACTATTCGATTACTAAACTTTCGCATGCAATTTCCTAGTCAAATTCGCATTACCAAACAAGTTCATTAAGTTCACAATGCGTCCTAACGTCAACTTTCGTTGGCTAGAAATACATTGCTCAATCCACATTCTTTCAGGCATTCTATCGAACACTTTTGATGCATAGAAAAACCTAGAATCTACAACAGGGTGATCAATCCTATTCTAGCATTAAGAACATGTGAATCAAAGAACCTAGAGAATGAGAATTCCTAACACAATCAATCCATTAATCCATTGAATCTCCTAATTGGAACCCTAAAACCCAATTGGAGAACTACTCACACATAGAGAAAGAGAAAAGACAAATAGATATGAAAGAAAACATGATTCAATAAAATAGAAAAGGAATAGGGTTTAGAAATCTTCTCCAAGTGTCAAGAGGATGGATTCCTTTGCCCAAAGTTGTTTACAAACCAAAGAACAAAGTTTAGAACTCAAAAAAGTCAAAGATAATGTCTCAAAAGTCGAGCTTAGGGTTTTAAAACAATAGGAGACGAGCCGGGTCGGATCTGGAGTGACTCGGGTCAAATCTGGGCCAAAAATACGTCTAGGGAAGGGATCGATCGATCCAAAGGAGGATCGATCGATCCAGCAGTGTCTGGAACGTTTCTCATCCGTCAGGGAAGTGGATCGATCGATCCACAAAGGGATCGATCGATCTGGAGCTTCTGGTCTTCAGCTCTGCAACTGCTTCAAATGCTCGCCAGAATGACCTGTCTTCACTAATTCGGGTATAACTATTGAATGCACCGTTAGATTTCCTTCAAATCACATGGAACCTCAAGCTAACATCTGCATATAGCTTTTGTCAAAATTTCAGAAAGATCTAACGGTGGTAAGTCTTCCATCGGAGGCCAAACGTTTGATACTTCTAACCAACACTGCATCTCCAAATGTGTGTTTTTATCCCAAAACATCTCGTTTTCCTCCAAAGCAACCTAAAACCTGTAAAGAATCGATAAAGGACTAAAAGACTCTAAAAACAAACTTTGACTCTATAAAATATATGATCTAGGAAAGAAAACAAAGACTCAAAACCGATAAAAACACAACATATCACCGTCCCGCCAAAAAACTTATTTATTTTATTAATGTTCTTATTTATGATATGATTCTAAATCATTGTCTAAATATTTTAATCGATGTAGAACGTTGAACACACACTTTCGTCAATTGGATAATATATGTCCGTTTTTAAAATTTCGAATCACAGTATATGCCGAGAAAAAATTTGATTTTTTATTTTATTTTATGTATTATATGATGATTCAAAACGGTTAAAACAAATCAAACAAAGATGATAGGAGAATCATAATTATAAATTTTAATCAAATCTTCTAAATATCTAAATTATTAAATATGGAATATCCGGTGTATGAGTTGGGTTAAATATAACCCGACCCAATAAATTTTTTGTGAAGGAATTTTAAAAACGGGTCGGATATCCGATATACCCGGAAGCATTTTTACCCACCCGTCACCAAAGTGTTGCAAAAATACTAGTATAGATTATGAACAAATCAGATGCCTCCGGTTATTATTTATATTATCCAAAGTTAATCTAATATGTTTTTTTGTTAATATTCTTTTTTTTTGTTGGAAAATTAGAATATTAACAAAATAAGAATATATGTTTAATGTATTATATTCCATATAATGTTTTTCAAAAATTCACATTTATTTTTCTTCTATATATTGCTTTTCTTATTTCCATATGTTGTTTTTCAAAAGTTAACATTTCTATTCTTTATATAGTATAGATTGGTTAGAAAATATTGTTAAATTATTGTAAGTGTTTGTATTTGAACACGCTTACACACAGAAAATAAACAAACTTGAGGTTTTAGTGAATGTTACATAAAATAAAATGTGACATCATGGATGCTCGAAATAATTTGGGAGAGTGGGATCCATGAGCTGCTAATGAGGCTGGGATATTTTAAGACAAATGAAACAGCTGGTTTCCATCTATTAAAATTAGGATCTTTCTTGTCTCCTTTTCCACCTTGTCCCGAAGTTGCCTGAGCTGTCCTAGGCCTATCTTTTTAACTATGTCCACTCCACTTCACTCATCCTATCCATTTAGCTTATCCCCATTATTACATATCTACATTGACGGCAGATTTACTATTTATTTTTATAATATCTTGATTGAAAAATATTGTGAAATTACTATATAGAATAATTACACAAAAAAAAAAAAGAGATATTTTTTTGTTCAAGTGAATGAGAGTGAATTTCGAATATTTTGAATGTTAAGACTTAAAGAGCATATCTAATGGTTAGATATTCACTAAAAATATCTAATCAATATTATAATAATATTTTTGATATAATTTTATTATTTGATCAAATTTTAAGTAATAAATAAAATTGAACTAATTATATTAAACAAATGGCAAAAAAAAAATTTAAAATGTTAAGAAAAAATCACTCTCTTTCTTCCTCTTTTATTACTTTTTATCATCTTATTGTTAACAAATTCATTAAGAGCTCTCCGTTGTACATACGATGACAGTATGATTCTCATGCTTAGACTGCATGCGTTAGAAAGTTCGGTTAAAATACTGAAAATTTTTGTGTTCATTGATATACTATAAACATGCATGGTCACAAACACCTCGATAAATAATTTCCTGAGTACATGTACACGTTCTTATTTGCCGAATGTCCTTTGTTGCTACCATAGAGTTTTATTGGGCCGAAACTAATAGAAACCAACTCATAATTATTTCGTTGTTTTGTGTTTTTGTCAACCAAATCACACATAATTTCAACGACAAAACTTTCTAATTTGAGCAACCTCTTTATATCATTGAAAGTCTCTATTGAGAATTCTATAGCTGACTGTTCATCCATTATCACAGTAGAAAAATCCAGATATTTTGATCAAATGTCTTCTTCTTCGTTCTTTCTTTCTTTTTTTCTATCTAGAAGCAGAGGTGCCAGTGTATCATAAGAAGAAGAAAAAATGCATCATCAGTTATCTTCAAATCACATGCAATATTTGGAAAATAATTGAAAATAATAAACATGAAAGATCATCATGATGATCAAGTAAAAATAATAATAATAATAATGATGATCAAGCAAAAAAAACAATTCAAATGTGGTAAAAATGTATAGGTATATAACTATATACAATACACATTGTTGCAGATCTTACTGGCCAATAGTTGTACATTATTGTATATACATAATATTTAGAAGGATTCTTTATTGGTAATTAACTAATATTTATGTAACTAATTTGCACCAGCCAGCAAATTGCCGCGCCATTATTCTGTAACTAATTTTTCTAATTGTTTATTTATGCGACGATTTTATCCTAACTATGTATACTTATTGCAGCTTGTAGTAGGATAGAACGGTTCCGAATATCTTAATTGAAATTCAGGATGAACTTCCAATTAAATATCCGATATATATCCATCCAAACATCATTACATTCACAAATATATTTTTATGGATTAGATACATAAAAATTACTATAAAATGCTCAAAGGTACCAAAGATTTTTAAAATTAAACCAAAATAAAAATATCCTAAATTGGCTAAAGTTAATTAAAATGTACTATGTATTTTTATATATAACAACACATCATAAATTGAACTATATATTTTAGATATGGATCCGTATACATATATGTAGACATTAAAATCATAATATTGGGATCCGTTTTAAACCGATCCTAGATTTTACTATTCATATTTCTTGGATATCCGAATTTTTTCAGAAAACCTTCTACAAGACAGACACTCCAATATTAAATAGCTAGAGAAAGAATCGGCACACACTCGCTAGTCGCTATACATACAAAGCATAAAGTTCTGTCACGTGTAAACTGTTACAGCAAACCAAATTATTTGACTAAAGAAAAGAAACACCTCCCGAGGCTGCATTATTTAGTAAGTCTTCTTTGTTTATTTCTTTCTTCCATGAAATATGATTAAAGAAGACAGACCCAATTATTTAAGGGAGGGCAGTCTCTCCTATAAGACCTAACAAGTTCATTACAAAAACAAGAGAGAATAAAACACGATTACTGCTGAGATCTGCCATTTCTAAACCTCAACCCATGATGAATCCTTCTAACAATCCTAAAAAGACAAGGCACCAGATCAGTCATATGCCTCAAGAAAGAGATGAAACGAAGAAGGAGAAGAAGCTTCTCCACCGCAACATCGAACGACAAAGAAGACAAGAAATGGCCATCCTTTTCGCCTCTCTTCGTAGTCAGCTACCTCTAAAATACATCAAGGTTCATATATTTTACTCAAATAAACTCATTGAAGTCTCAATCTTCCTATCAAGTTCATTGATGGGAGATTTTTGTTCTCTAGGGTTTTAGTTTTCTCAGGCTCTTTCTTCGCAGGGAAAGAGAGCCATGTCAGATCATGTAAACGGAGCAGTAAATTTCATCAAAGACACTCAAACACGGATAAAAGATCTCTCCTCTAGAAGAGACGAGCTAATGAGAGAGATTGGTGACCCCACTAGTCGAACTGGATCCGGATCTGGATCTGGCTCAAGTAGATCGGAACCAGCTAGTGTCATGGTGCAACAGTGCGTGAGCGGCTTCAAGGTGGTTGTGAGCAGCTCAGCGTCGTCAGGTCTTGAGGCTTGGCCACTCTCAAGAGTTCTTGAAGTTCTTCACGAACAAGGACTTGAAGTCATCAGCTCTTTAACCGCACGAGTCAACGAGAGGCTCATGTACACTATACAAGTCGAGGTACCGTTACATATTTAGAGTTAAATCTAGGGATTTTAGTGTAAGCTTATCAATTGTGTGAATATGTTTATGTTTATGTATCCATATATATGATATATAATCCACAGGTAAATAGCTTTGATTGCTTCGACTTAGCTTGGTTGCAGCAGAAGCTAATTGAGGAATTAGTACTTTCCACGACCAGGCACTGAAAAAATCTAACATTGTTCATAAGAATATGTTCATTGAATGATGTTTTTGTCCAAATCTCTTTATTTTAGTGTCCGTAAGGGTGTATTCTTCTTGGTCCTTCACTACTTGGAGTGAATTTTTGTGTAAAGATGATCTGGTTGGTTAGATTGAATTAGCAAATTCTAAACTCTCGTTCATGCTTCTTTATATATAAGTATAGATAATCTTTTGTCTAAAAGGAATTTTTCGAGTGCATCAACAAAACAAAAATATAGTGATGCGCCTGATTTCTTTATACATTTTTCAATATATATAGTCATCAATCGATGCTAAAGACTAAAGTCTCATTACATAATAATCAGTGTCTTTTAATACTTCATATGCATGAACTAGTTGATAGATATTTTGAACATAGCATATATACACTTCTCTGATTAGACTTACCAAAATGAAGATATATATGAGAGGAGCAAAGTAATGCAGGTTTAATGGAGCAGCTGCCATTCAACATTAGTGGATATCTTATCTTGTGACTTTTACTGACTGAATTCGTACGACATTGACCTAGCTCAGGACCGGCTCAAAATTATTCGAGACTTTGTGCTGATGTATAAAAATTAGTCTTTAAATAATGGAAAAAAGATACTCAGCTACACGAAGTACGACGGAATACATGCCTACACATGCCAAGTTTAAAAATGTACAACCAACTACACGAACTAAATGTATTGCATGCCCACATATACCAACTATATGACGACATGTGCTTAACATCACAAACATTTATTCCGGTACACTAATCAACGAAATCCGGCGTTGACCATTGTTGACCGGTATTGACCGGCATTTACCAACAAAAATATTCAAAAAATTTTTTAGTAATTAGTTAATTTTTTTAGTATTGACCGATAGTGATTTTAATAATTAGTTAATTTTTTTAACTTCAAAACTAAACTAAAAGTGAAATGAAATAAATTTTATTATTTTTTTAGAAAAATTGAGTATATGACTCTTTAATCTAAAGTTTGCATGTTTAAAAAATATTAAGTTTTTTTTGCTAAAATCAAAATCATAATACATAGTTAAAAACATAGAAAATTTTACATACTCTTTAGTCTAACTTTAATATATTATTAATTTATGTAATTAAAATTATTAAAAAAAATTTCGTAATAACGGATAAATAACAAAAAAGGTCGTAATTTGTTTTTTTTTAATATATAGCAAATAAAAAATCTAACGATATTGATTTTAGCAAAAACATTTATAAAATAAGAAGTTAATGTTTTTATTGACAATGTAAAAATAAGGAATTCGCTTAATTATTTTTATTTCACTTTTATTTTAGTTTTGAAATTGAAAAAACTAACTAATTATAATAATTAGTTTATTAAATATATATACAAAATTTATTTAAGTTGAATATACTATATAGAATGTGTTTTCCTCTTTAATTATACAATACAATAAAAGATTTAATAGAATAATTTTTTGTTTTTGTTTTTAATATTAAAATATAAAAAAAAATTGAATATTTTTGTTGGTCAATACAGGTCAACGATGGTCAACGCCGGATTTCGATGATTAGTATACCAGAATAAGATGTTCGTGATGTTGATCACATGTCTTCATATAGTTGGTATATGTGGGCATGCAATACATTTAGTTCGTGTAGTTGGTTGTACATTTTTAAACTTGACATGTGTAGCCATGTATTCCGTTATATTTCGTGTAGCTAAGTATCTTTTTTTCTTAAATAATATAGTTTTTTAAATAGTGAAAATTTTGGACCCTCAATTTTAAAGGAAATTGAATTTTTTTTTTGAGGATCCTGTGCTTTTTCTCCTCTGGCACATCTTTAAAGCCGACCTAGGTAGAAACAAAATTTACATGATTTAAGTAACTTTGATTTGATTGACCGTACCGTATATATATCAGTAGATATTAGATAATATGGCATGCATGTACATACATTTGAATCCATCAAATAATCTCAATATAACTTGTTATGTTCAAAAAAAAAAAAAAAAATGTTCAACATTATTATGGGACACAAAAATTATTAGCAAGATTACAACACGTGTCGATTCAGCGATTAGATCGTCTATGTGATATCATCTATTCATCTGTATATCGATGATAATGACACAATATTTTCAGTAACGTATATATTTCATATTTTCATCTATTCTTTTGCCTCTTCAATCTCTACCAGAAGCACATAAAACAATATAGCATATTTAAATTTCGGTCACATATATTTTGCAGCTGAATATTTTTTTTTAGTTCATGTAAATTACGGTTCAAATACATGATACATCTTTAATCTTTATTATATAACAATCAGCGAGGATGGCAGTCGAATGTTAAAGCAATAAAGATACGATTGATTGACTGGTTGGGATCTCCCTAATATACTTTTGATTTAATTATTGTTAGTTAATAGTTAAGTACAAAGATGCTGTCCAACGAATTCATGATCTTCAAATCGGATTATGTTCTAATAAAGACAGCCTAATTAGATCAATACTTAAATCAATTGTTGGTGATGCGTTATTGAATAATTTTCTGACCAAACAAACATAATTTTCTAAAAGTCCCTTTTCCAAAAACATTTATAAGAAAAAGTTTGGCACATCCGTAAAGCTATAAAAGGAAAGATGTCTCTGCCCGATCCCAAATTCGAATTTAATTATAACAAAATTTTCGGTAAACTATTTAACAATAATAAATTGGTCACATATATATATTCTGATTTTTAATTAGTTCGAGAAGTACGATTTTAACGACTTGAAGTCTAATTATTGGCACAATTTGAGACAGCTTACCTAATCTTACATAGTGGAAGAAAAAAAGAAGCTCTAATCTTAGTTTTACATATGTATGAGTCTCTGGCTTTAGAAGAGTTGACCTGAAGTTATCTAGTTGAGTGTTGTGTGAGTGTGAGGGTTGACCCGTTTATGATGCTGATTAGTTGGCAACTTGGCATACATATCATTATCCGCATGTACTACACTACTACCAAAATATATCCGCTTGTACTTTGGTCAGCTTTCGAATATATTTGGTGGTGTACGATTTTACCAAATATCCTTAAGAATTAAATCCACTGGGCGAATATTAGTCTGCGATAATTTGACTTTAGAAGAAGAGGGTCTAATTTGTGAATAATATTAAAGAAATGAGTTCTATCCCGTGAATTTTGGAGAAAAAAAAACACAAATTGTTGTACATCTTTTTTTTTTTTTTTTTTTTTTTTTTTATGTTGTACATCTTTTATCATGATTTTTTGAATGATTTATTGATAATTTTGGGTCTACAACAACTATGGCGAGGAAGGGACATAACCGATCCCATAAGTGGACTATAGTGGCATAAATTGTACATAGATCAAAATAAAAAAAATTTAAAACAAAACTTATCAATTTTTTATATGGTAAATATTGCATAACGGTTAAATCTTTTGAATCTTTGACATAATTTTCAACACACTCAGTATAAAGTTTCGTGTCTAGATTGGCGTAGTCATTTCTTTGTATACAAGTGCAAAAAAAGTTTAGGTTTTTTATTTTTTACTTTTTTTCTGTTTAAGTTTTCAGATTCGTTTGTTTGTATTTCATTGTGGTTTAGCATAAATGGACAATCTAGTTTACATATAAGTAGCATACAGAAGCGGCCCGAGATATCTAGATGAACCCATGATTAGAGGCCCATATGAGTAACATAAAGAATCGGCCCGAATGATGTATTTTTTTTACAAGCCCAAACTAGAACAGACAAATACCTTATGAACCAATCTCCTTTTTTGCTTTGACATCCAACCAACGATTTCCATTACACCAGTTCACCTAAAAAACACATCATTACACTACAAAAAATATTATACATTCGGATTTAGTGATATTGGGCTATATTATTATTGTTGGGCCATTGTCTAGCATTTGTTGTTTTGTACCATCGTTTATTTCAACTTTCTTTTTTTTTCAAATGTTTCAACAGCTCAGTTGGTATTTTCCCATGAGTTGATACCTCAAACTCGGGTTCGAATCTCCAATACATATGTTTGTATTATCAAAGGACCGATTTTGTAGGGATCATGAAAGTAGCAAGGAATATAATATTACTCTCTCATCTATAGTAGATTATTAAAGTCCTTGCTAGTTTTCGTCGGATAAAAAACATGTTTGATTATTATCTACATGTTTTGTCAGATCCGGGACAAGTAATCTGCATGATTCAATGTATTGGAAGCATTGTGACCTTTGTCTAACTCTAAGCGCGAGGCAAAGCAAACTCTAGCTATTAATGTTATCACATTATAAGCATGCATATAATATATTCATGATTACATATTCTCCATAAAGCAGCCATATAGATTTTCTCCCCCACTTTTTCTTCTTTTTTGACGCCCTTTGCTACTTTTCTAAGATGCCGATTACAATATGTGTATAAGATTTAAAGCCGAAGCCAAAATAAATTAAAAAGGAAATCAAAAAAAAAAAAAACAAAAAAATATTGTTGATACGGTATCAACTATCGAGGTTTGAGAAGATAGAACTAAGAAAGTGATGCCTCCTTATAAATAGTTGTGGAAACAAAGACACATTATTTCTATAAATGTTAAAACAAGAAAAGCAAAGTTTACCTCCATTGATGAGGCATGAGCATGTGAATGTGCCCTTTTAGGGCAACAATAAATTAATTTCATGCATACAACAAATCAAAAATCTCATGACAAGAAAGTGAAAGTGAAGAGAGAGAGTTTTTTGTGTATGGTCTGTTAATTAGGTGAGCAGCAGCCGACCTAGAGAGAGAAAAGCATATATAGGGAGTGAGAGAGAGAAACTAGGGTTTAAATTTTTTTTAATTTGGGGATATTGCAAAGAGATATGAGCTTTTAATGGTTCGGTGATCGTGCCCATCATTTTTCACTTGTCTTTCTGTGTTTTTAACGGTTTATGAAATTTAAGACATCCTACTCTATTACATTTCCCCTCAAGGCATTATTTTATGCAAGTTATGTAAAATTGTAAATTATTGATAAGCTTACTTCCAAATTAATTGATCCAACAGATAGATCAAAATCAAGTCCGGGAAGTCAACTTTCAGACCGGACATAGACACAGTCCCATAAATCGCATCAAGGAGACTATGTGACTGTGTTATAACCTTTGAGACATGCTTCTAGAGTA